TTTTGTAAAAATGATACTAACAAATAATAGTACTAGGTTTACTACTTGATACTAGCAAAAAATAATAACAAATTACGTAGACTAGAAGCAAAACTTGATCTGATACCTAACAAATTCATAGGCTAAAAACTAAATACTAGCAAAAGATGAGCAAAGAAAATCAAGGATAACAAGTAGACTTCCACTTGTAACTACTTTAATGGCTCTATATCTCTGTAAAAGTTTTTCAGAAATGGGACCAGAAACCACAACAAAACCATAGCTGGATGATCTAGTCCGGGCTAAGAAACAAAACAAAAAAATCACCAATTTTCTGGTAATTAGATAGCTTTTTTTTTTCCTTTACAATTCCTAACTACTAGATAGGATTAAGCACCAATTCTTCACAAATAAAACTACTGTGTTTTGTACTGAAGTGTCAGGGCTATCTATGGTTGACGTAAATCAAGATCACAGATGTTTTCTATTTTGAAGAAAAGCTCTTATTTCAATGTTCAGCCATTGTTTCTTATGGAGCTGTGTGTTCTCTACTTCCTCTAATCCTCAGTGAATCATGAGTTTATAAATAACGTCCAGTTACTACAGATTAAATATATATTATTACATTAATTTGTATTAACAAATGTCTAGGAATGACAAAGCTGTACTAAAACTGAATAAGAGCTTTAAAAAGTTTTGATAGAATATTAGTTGAACTGGTTTAGCTCAGCTTTCTATATATAGATCAAATTGATAATGCAGTAATTCAGTATGTATTTCTAATAAAAAGGCAATGAAAATAAATGGAAGATGATAACTTCATTAAAAATATGAATGGTACGTAAGGATATACAGTTGGGTTACATAATACCATGAATCCCAAGAAAACTGATTACGGATATCAGCTAGAAAATTGTACAAGCAACAGGTTTTTCAATTCATAGGGAGAGGGATCCTGACTTGGTGGGTAAGAACTTTCACCATCAAAATAACTTTTTCATTAATAGGTTTTGTTTTCCTGACTAAAAAAAACCCAGACACTTTTCAGCTCCAGTTAGATAATGGAGTCCATTCAACCAAAAACGGAGAATTTGTTTTAAGGAACTTACCATAAAAGGAACTTCACTATGCTCAAAGCTGCCCAGAGAAGAACTCCTTGCTTAGTGGTCACATCATTACCACCAGGTTTCATGTCATTCACCCACGGTAGAGGAGATGACATTTAATTCCCTCTTCAGAGGGAACATTTTAGATGTTTCATGAGATGATAAACTGTTTTGACATTTTGAAAATGTTAACATTTTCACATAATTTAAAACAATTTTTTTCTGATTCAGTCTAAATTCTGAAAGCTTCAAGTACCATCTTCAAGGACCCCCAAAATTTTCACAATTCTATTCAAGAAGATTGCCCTACAAATATCCAAAGCAGAGTTTGGTGTAAATAAGAAAATCAGAGTCATACCTGTTATGTACTTAATCATTATCAATAACCTTCCATCACAAAAATGTTCCTCTGGACTGTTTTTTTTTCTTGTTCCTCTTCAGTTTCCACTCATCATCTCCAACTGTTTTCTATCTTCCCATATAATTTTCATTTTCTTTCCTGTGCCTTTTCTTGCTAGTAGCATGGCCCAAATGACTTTGATCTCCTCTGTGCACTGTGACTCTCTTGCAGCTTTGCCAGCTTATAGTTATCACTCGTCTAAGAAAATTAATATATAAATAGAAAAGATAGCACATGAAATTTAAATACCATGGGAAGAAAGTTACCACTTTTTATGGGGAGCTGATCAATAAATTAGGTCCATTTTCAAAACAATATGTGTCAGAAAACAGATTTAGCTTTAGGCTGTCTGCACTGAGATATTATGCCTTTATTTAACGCTGTGCACTGATGACCTGCCTCCTTCTAGACTGTTTGAATGGGAAGTGTCAAGCAGGGCCGCCATGAAGCCACCAAAAGCAGAATGGAACCCACTAACAAGCAGAGACCTTGTATGTGCAGCCAATACCACAACCCAGCCCCAGTCCCCAGCTGGAGGAAGATATGAATTGTCTTCTCGAAGCTTATCAGCCTCATCTTCCGTGTGTACGATATGACACAACACAGTATGTATCCTTATCTCTTTAAATATAGTAGGAAACAAGATTCTCCTCCTCCACTGCTTTTGCTCTGAACTGGTCTTGCTCTTTTGCCTTATGGTAGATTTCTCAAAAAATGGTAAGAATGTATTGCATGTGAATTAAATTTTTAACTACCCATACTTCTGTTCTGTAGTTGCCCTCAAAATTTGAGTAAGAAAGCCAGCACCCCGCGGGTTGGAGCTGCGGTTATAACTGCTCAGCAGCCCCATGAGAGCCCATCCTACCCTTCATCCCCGTTTCTCCCAGAGACAGGGCGATCATTCATGGCAATCAAGACTTCAGCTGCACTTCAAGTGGGATTTTTAGCAAGGCCTTGACATCAGCACAATTCATACCCCAAGCACTGTTTTAGTCCCACACATGCACCATGTTCCCCTTCCCTTAGCAACACTTCTCACTGACAAGAATTGCAGAACAGCTGGGTATGTTTTCTACTTTTCAATATCATTTCCAGTGAGCATTTTTCCCTCCCACAAGACAGCAGCTCGCAGGCTGTGTTGCCTCCCGCATGAGGCAGGTCTCCCACCACCGCCATTTCCAACTCACCAGGGCCCCCCACGGTTACCAGGGTCTGGTGACCCGCGAGGCGGCCTGGCGGGACCCCTCTCCCTGGGGAAGGCCCCGGCCTGTGGGACCGAGCTTTGCTCTCTTCCTCCTCCTCCCTCAGCCCTGAGGGAGGATGCTCCTTTCACTGGGAACCACTTCACAACGCCTGCGGTGCACTCGCCCTGCCCGGGGCCCTCCATCTCCGCCCAGGGTCCGTCAGCCAGCCCCTTCCAGCGGGTCAGTGACAGGGTCAGCGACTGCGCTTTGGCTGTCGTCTCATCCCCCAACGCCACCCCGGCGGCCGCTGGGGCAACGTTTGGGTTGTTCAGTGGCTGAAGGCCAATGCAGGCATGGCAGCAGGGCCAGCAGCAGGGTCAGGGTATGCCTTCAAGCCTTGTGGGGCTCTGCCCAAAAGCCACCATAGCGCTTGGTGGGCTTCAGTCATGGACTTCCCGCCCTAGGGCGCACTCCCTCACGCAGCCTCTGAGGGAGAGATGCTATGTTGTTCAGATACGAGCGATTTTGCACTGAATAAGAGAGTGTTTCAAGGCAATACATGTAGCAAGAAACTCTTAGATCTGAGGTTTTTTCCTTTTCAGTTACATTTTTTATTTGCTGCCTTCTCTTCCAGAAAATCATCAGTGCTATATACAGCAAATGCATGCATCTGCATTTACATAATTTTGTATCATATGCGATCTTTATCACACCTGGCGCTGATACTTAAAAACCTCACACTGCAATGTAAACAAGATGGATTGCGCCAGCCAAGGCAGTACTAGTTTTGTGTTGTGCCATATCAACACCCTTCCTCAAGGGATCTTCAGCTCCAGCACTGTCCTTCTTGGTCCTTTGCATTGACACTGAAAGATGTGGTTAGCGATCCAAGCTCCGCTGCCTCTTCAGCCATGACCTTTAAAAAACCCCAACCAACCAAGGTAAACAGCATGCTGCAAATTGCATTAATTTACACAGCTGTAGGCAGAGGGCTGGTAGGTATGTCAGCAGACTGAAAACGGGTAGCAATGGTGCTCCTCTCCTCCATCCTGCCCTTCTGCCCTCCAGCTCCTGCTCCTGTCTACCTCGCCATCCCACCATGACTGCTACAGCGTGGTGAAGCTCACTCAAGAAGCTGAAGATCCACTGAGGGCTTGCTGAAAAGTCATGACTGGGTAAAACTGATTACATTTATTATAAATATTCCTATATTCATAGTGAGTCAAATGCTGACTAACTCAGTAAAAATTCTGGCTGGATTAAGTCAGATTCTAGTCTTATTTTTAGGTATAGTCCTTAATAATTTCTGAAGCTAATAGAGTAAATTTCATATATGCATATTTGTGCTAGTAAATCCATTGCTAAGGAAACTTTGCTAATGGTAGCTAAATACCAAGAAATGCATCACGTTTTGTCACCGATCAAGTTCCAACAAAAAGTGTTGGAATAATTGCAGTTCTGTACAGTTTGCTGCCTTCTAAAAAGTGGAGTGTGAATTTCAGCTAGAAAGAAACAACTTTTCACAAAGAGGCATTCACCAGATGATCAGCTTTGATGGATTCCGGCACCTGAATGCTGTGCCAAATGAAGAACCTCTCAAGGAAAGCTCAGTTTTCTTTTCAGAAGATATCAGGAGATGTCAGAAAACCCTTCTGTGGATATTTCAGTATTCTCTTTAATTAAAAATTCTCTTTTTTTCTAGTATTCTCTTTAGTAGACACATCACTGTTGGCTTTGACCAGCCTCAGCTTTGGCGTAAGCAACTCCCAATGAGCAGGTAGACAGTAGAACTGGGCAAAGATTTATGAGACCTAACACCTAAATCCAGCTATACCAGCAGCCTTGAGCCTGTTTCTTCATTTCTCTGCTTGCTTTCCTTGCTGTGCTTTGCACAAAATGCCATCTCTTTAGGTTAGTATTATCGCAGTGACCTGTCTGCAACAAAAGCACAGTGGAGACGTACACTTAAATAGGATTTCCAGGTAGAAGTAATTAACAGAAGCAACATAAATGTAAGTAGAATGAGCCTGGACATAACCTGATTCATTTACTTAGTACTTTAGGGATATTTCAGTGATGTAGGATGGATGAGATGCAATTTTTCCTTAGAAAACAAGGAGGGTTCCTTTGTAAACTTCACTTTCCTGATAATTCTAAGAAGTGCACATTAGAAGAGTGTGAATGTTAAGAGAGGTGAATAAGATTTCACTTTTCCACAGGGCAGTGTTATTCTTTTGTCTTAATTCTTTTCATGAAGGGAGCTGTAGATCATGGGAGCTCCCTTAGAGGTGCAGAGAAGCCCAAATGACTTGCTGTCTCAGATACGGTGACACTGGTTTGGGTTGCTTGGTGAGAAGAGTCCCTCAGTAATAATGTTGTTCAAATTGTATTATATAGTAAAAGAAGATGCATTATCAGTCAGAATTTCACTGGACTGTCTTGAGTGATAAATATCAGAGTTTGTCCTTGAACTACGTTTATTGTATTTCTTGTATCTCATGCACCATAGGTCCTTCATTATCTTCACAAAATAACTTCTGAACTTCACGCCAATAAATGCATAGAGCACAGGGTTCACACAACAGTGTAAAAATGCTATGGCTTCAGTGGTGTATTTCACATAGGTCATTATCTTGTCATTGTCACAAGATTTGTCTATCTTGCCCATATTTACGGCTGTCATAAGAAGAACAATGTTATAAGGTACCTGGCAAACTAGGAAAACAGCTACAATTAATACAATCACACGGATTGCTTTGTTTCTTTTGGAATTCTGAGCTTGTTGTAAGGATTTGACAATGAATGTATAGCAAAAAATCATGAATATGAAAGGTACAAAAAACCCAAATCCAACTTGTAGACACAGCAGCAGTGATTTCAGCATCGTGCTGTCAGACATTCTGTGAAATCTGTGATCGCAAATCTCTTTGGTTTCATTGGTGGAGAAGCTGTAACTTTCACTGTATAGAAAAGAGGAACTAGAGATTAAAATTGAGGATACCCACACGACCAAACAAATGATCTTACTATATGCGAGTGTTCTTGCCCTGAATTTAAATGACTTTGTTGCCTGTACGATAGCAATGTACCGGTCCACACTGATAAAGGCCAAAAGCAGCATGCCGCAGCTGAAGTTGATTGCATAGATACCTCTGGCCATTTTGCAAATGAAATCACCGAAAATCCATTCATCAGCAGCATAATTCACTGCCCACAGTGGGAGAGTGAGAACAAACAGTATGTCTGCTATGGCCATGTTGAAGAGGTACACATCCGTCATGGACTTGGTTCTTTCATATAAAGCAAAGGTCATCACTACAAAGATGTTACCAACTAGGCCGACGATGCAAATCAACGAATACGCAACTGGCAGAAATGCTTTTGTGAAGTTTCTGACTTCCAACTTAGAACAAGGTTGTGCGATTAGAGAAGCATAGTCTGAATACAGATAATCTGTGGTACGTGTCTCTGTCTGTAAAAAAGAAGATCATCAGTTAACACATAGGTGTTAATCTCTAATGTCTATATAGTAGACAGATGATAGATAACAAAGTTGTACAAATACAAGGTATTTTGGAAATCTTTCAAAAATTAGTATACAAGTATTATATGGCTTGCTGATTTGAAATGGAAGTGACATTTCACTTAGGACAACTGTAACACATCTGTCCAGTCCTTCCTGCATCTCAGCTTCAAACCTGTATCAAATTCATCTCAAGGCAGTCCAGAGCACTGTTGTTTCCTCCAACACTACATGCTTTACACCGTTTCCACCCACCAGACCCCCCAATTACAAATGTATTTAACACTGCAAGGAGACTTGTAAGAACTAACTAGAGAATTTCATAAAATCTTAATTAAAATATGAACGTGGAGATAATCTTTTTGGATGGCCCAAAGGTTTCCATCTTTAAATACATTATGCAGAAAGGATGTCTGCCGTCACAGAAGACTCTACAGTGTAAAAGTCTGAATTTGAAGCAGAGGTCTAGACTTCCTTTACTGTCAAGGGAGGGGAACAGGCCTTTCTAGCATGTTATACATTTCATAACTTGGCTAAATCAAGCCCCAAAATGATTACTTCTCTCTGCTCAGCTGGACAGGCAGTCCAGGATGGCTAGCCTGAGACGCAGTTACCTGCACCACAGACACCAAACCTGTTGTTCCATTAGGAGGGTGCAAACCCAATAAACAGTGTGCTTTGACAGTGAACTCTGCTGTCAGAAACATCTTTTCAGCTAATCACTTCTGAGATTAAAGTATTTGGACCAGTAGCCTCAAAGAGCTGGGACTTCCAGATTCATTGCTTTATTGATGTACTAATATAGTTTGTCAATTAAGTACTTACAAAATTCATTTTGGCAATACACTTCTCAGAAAGAGAAATATGTTGAGAAGAACTTCAAAATGCTTTCCCAAGGGTTTCTGAAAAGAAAATAAAGTCGATTGGATTGGGAAACCAGCACAAGAAATGTGAACAAGTAGAAAAACACAATTGGAAATAAAACATTTATTCAAAGAAGAATCTTGTAACTTCAACTATATCAACAATACACAGGAGCATCTCAACAAATCACACATCTCTGGAGCACAATGTGCAGTTGTGGAAAGTGGATGGTTTCTATCCGTATCATTAAGAGCACAATCTTACATACGGAACGATTATCCATAGAGCTAATAAACGATATATGAGTATATGTGACTCAATTCACATTGACTTGCAGCACAAGAAATTAGAGTAAATTAAATTTTACTTTCAGAAATTCCATATGACAATGGCAATCAATGTATTGAGGGAAATATGGAACAAACAAACAGCACTACCTTAGGCTGCTCTGTAAGAGTAATACAGCACCTTAACTTTTTTTTTCTTTTTTTTACTCTGGCACTTTATCAGTGTGTCTCAGCACTTTTAACATCACATTACTTGCCCTTTTTTGTTACAGTAGTGAGGCAAATCAAGCGTGCCAGGATAATTGCTTCTTATAGCGCAAAGGACAGTACACAACATATGAACAGACTGAGCACTAGTGTTGTTTTGTCTTTGTTCAGTGCACAGATCTTTGTGTTATAGACTGGATTCTATGAAAATAGTTTATTTTATTTATCACTGTGATACCTAAGTATTTTACAAATGGTTATTAATTAATTTGCGCAACACTGTGGTAAGGAGGTATTATGACCTTTATTTTACAGGGAAGGAACCTGACCACTCAGTAAGTGTCCACTTGAGATGTTCAGTTTGAGACACCTGTTCCCCCCCTAACATCGCTTTTAAGAGTGCTTAGCATTATGAAGGACTTCAGTTATGTAAAAGATTAAATCCATTGACTCTGGTTGCAGCGAGGGCCAGACTTCTGTGAATCAGACCACAGGGTCTAAAGTCACAGACAGATAAAATGGGGAACATGCCATTGGTGGCCAGCTGTGCAAAGCTGGGCTTAAATGACTTGTTTAACCTCACACAGGAACCCACGGGCAGGAGATTTAGTTTCTCAGCATTCCCCTGCATGAGTTCAGTCCTCCTTTCTGTTTGCTGCTCTGTGAGAATGGCACTTACCAGTAATGCAGTACTTGCAGAGACTGGACGACAGTCCTTCGCTGAGGCTGCGAATGGCAGTTTTGTCTAGAGCTTCTGCTTTTCGTGAGTTGTGCTGCGAGTCAGGAAGTGTGCATGGGTCACCTTTAAGTCTAGATAAACAGATCCTTCCTGTTTGGGAATTACCTGAATTTTGAAAGAGAGCGAGATAGATAATCTGTAGAAGCGGGGCAGATGCAGTCCAGATATAACTGGGAAGCTGAGGGAGGGAAAGGACTGAACACTCTCCAAAAGCGTAATGAGGATGAGACTCTGACTCACGTGGGGAGGCTGACTCATGACAAAGGGCTGCAGATGGGTAAACACCCATACTATATGATGTTGCTTAAGGATCACAGCTTCTCTGGCTTTCCTGCCCTTTAAATAAATGTTTAACCACCTCTCCAGCTTCCTCTGCTGGCTTTTCAAAGCTGATTTTTAGAAGCTGCGGGAATATGACAGGCTGAAAGCGCTTGAACACCTTCTGAAGCAAGCTTTAAACAATTTAAAGTGTCTCTCAGAAGTGCAAAGATGTATAAGGCAAGCATATAAGTTGTACAGTTCATCTGGGGCTGTGGTCCCCTAGCCCATCTTTGAGCAACTCTAGTCTCCATCTGCTGCCTTACCCTCCCCTGACCCCAGCCAGCCAGACACTCATGCCCTCGCGTGGTGTTTCTATTACCCTTTGCACTTGGTTGCAACTGCAGTAACTCTTCAGTTAGACAGCGCTAAAGGGGTACCAGTCTAGGTTATTATTTTAGAAACTGTTGCAAGAAAAATGCTTTTCTAGGTATGTCATTCATAGCTTTCTAGGACATACGTGGTTAAAACGCACAAAGAGAGCCTGGCAGCATATATTCTGTATAAAACAGTCACTCTTCATTCCACTTAGCCAAAGCCACTCTCAGACATTAGTATAACATGTCGAAGGATGAAGACAGGGTGAAGGCATTTAGAAGAAAGGTAGCACGGGTGTTTCCTACAGCCTGCAAGGAAGGCTAAGAAAGGAGAACTCTTCAGATTAGCACTGAAGAAGGGCTCTCGAGTCCTCAGAAGAGCTCAGCAGAAAGCCTGTAGGGAACAACAAGTGCTCATCATGGGAGAGCTGCGTACTCTGCCTGATGCTACAGGAATTCACAAGGGCACCGCCAGTCACACATTTATTCACAAAAGGACTTGAACTGTCCAGCAAAAGCTTCCTGAGGATCATTGGTACCAGAGCAGTAGAGAAGGACCCAAACTGAAACCAGAATGGCAGAGACTAGATTTAGGACCTGATTTAAACCTCTTGAGCTGATTTCTGAATTTGAAACAGCGTTCACCGAAGTTATTAAGAAGATGCACTGGCCACAAAGGAAGTGGAATCAGAACTCCTATAAACACAATTTTCTTTTCAATTTAAATCTTTCTAACCATCTTTCAATAGGCACCTTTATAATTCATAACCTGCATGTTTATGGCTTTATTTAGCATTAATGTATTTGGAAATTCTAAAAAATACATTTGCATATATATAAGGGTGTGTGTTTGTGTGTTCTAACATTGTTTATATACTACATATGGGTGCATGTCTGTGCATGTGTACAGAAACATATGTATGCTCTGAATATTAAATATATGAGCCTTGCATTTTTTAGCTTACTGTTTTTCCACTTTATCCACGTTATCACATTTCTTTTCACTATGAAAGCAATATGTGAGTACTCAAAGGTAGACTAAACTACAGTCTTAAATACAAATACATTATTTGAATTATACAAGCAAAAGACAATGGATAAAGAAAGACCTCAGGAAAAAGGCAGATTTCTATAAAGAAAGAAATTATCAGTAGTTGGAGAGAATCAATAAGTATTTTTTTAAACATTGCTCACTATTCTAAGTACACTCCTACTTACGTGTTCAGTTTAATACATTCATCACACATACATACATTATAGATTACCTATATTATGTTGGTACTTACCAGGTTTGAAAATTGTCTGAAGATCAGGTGAAAGAGGATGTGTGTTTCTGTTACATTCTTTTGTGGCTGCCTCAAGCACGTTTACCATCAGCCTGAACAGGAGTACACTTTAATTCAAAAACCAAGAAATAACAGCATTAGTTAAAGGTTAACAGAGTTAAATTGAAATAATCACCACTTCCTCCTGACAAGCAATAACAAGAACCTACTTTTTTACGTAAAGGAAAATACTTAACCTTATCTGTGCTGGAAACATGCAAGCTGGAGGCAAGTCATTTACTAATTAGGCTACCTCTGTAATGGTATTTTTTTTCAAATAATCAAGCTAGCATTAGAATCATAAAAAGTAGGGTGTTAATTGTGACTGTGCTCAGAATACATCCCGAATGACAGCCTATTTTTGCAAAGGGTGCACTTCATGTCATGCAAATGAGCAGTTTAATAATTCATAATTTAAATCAACAAGATCACTTACAGTAGAACTGCAAAACTGAGACAAGTGTTAATTACTGAACTGAATAATAGCTGTTTTCTGAAAAAAAAAAAAAATCTAGTATATGTCAAGGTGCACATTATCCAAATGCTTTGCCTGAACTGCTAACACAAAATAGGCAAATGCCCAGGTAAAGAAGGAAAATGCAATTGTATTTGCCTGTTTGGCACAAACATTTGCTGTTTGCGTGCCTGTTATTCAGGTTTGTCATTAAAGTTAGTTGGAACTAGACATGAAAATATTTCATTTTATGATTCCTGAATTTTAAAAGCTGTAAAAGTTTCTTTTCCAGACCTTAGTTTCTGATGACAACTTAGATGTTTGCATTAGCAGGAGAACCAAAACGTAACAAAAAACTCCTTCAAACTTCTTATTTATTTTAGAAATTGTATGTGTGAACATTCAGTTGCAGGTTGTGATCTCATTAGAGACACCAGATGGCATTAATACAGGCAGCCTTGTAAGATATGATTAAATTAACGGAATGATGGACTTAAAGAAGTGCAGAGTGATAGATGTCACGCTCGTCTTTTTTTTTCAAAACTGAGCATATCACAGCAGCAGCGGCTCCCTAGCAGCTTAAGTATGGCGCTGTTTTCCGCTAACCATGCCAGTGAATGAAGCAAAAGCACAGCATATTGTCAAAATGTGCCTTGGTAGATTTAAAGTATCATGTCGTAATAGTTCATAATCATTTAAGCAAGCACATTTCATTTTCTCGATGGCTGATTTTCACAGGATCCAAGACCTTGACTTCAGCTGTGACAAAATCCCAACATACTGTCATACAACGACACAGAGATACTTAAAAACCCTGAAAGAAGAGTCTCATTTTTTTTCGTATATATGTGTGCGGATGTGGACACAGTGCATGCATGTTTTGATTGTTACTGCTGAAAAGCAGTCGTCTTCACTCTTTGATGCATACAAAGCAAAAAAAGTGTGAAATCTGTCTGGATTGTGACTCAAATAACTTCAATGGGCTCACTATAAGATTAAATTGGCCTCCTTGTTGCTGTTTGGACTAAACTGTTCCCTGTCATCACACATCTGGGGAAGGTTATGATTAAATCCCTAAAGTAGTTGAGCATTCGAAATATAGTTTGGTAAAGTCCAGTTACATGGAGGAAAGAGGTGCGAGTTTCAGTGCAGAGAAGAGGTAAAGATAGAAGTCCAAGAGAAACAATCACAGCAGATGACTAAGATAGCTTATCTCAATTTTAAATTTCTATTGATAAATCAAACCAGCAGCTGCAGTTAGAGGACCAGGGTGCATCAATGGTCAAAAGACAGATTGCTGAGAGCTGCAAGGATATAAAAGAA